GGATTTGAACCCGCCACCTTAGGTGTACGTGGCTGGCGCCTTAGCCGGTTGAGCTATAGGCACCGAGCCTCCTTGCAATTCTTGAAGCAAAGACAAAAAAAAGTGCTAAGCAGGTACTTAAGTGCTTATTATTATTATTATTATTTTGAGACAGAGTCTCACTATGTCATCCTCGGTAGAGTATGGTGGCATCACAGCTCATAGCAACCTCAAACTCCTAGGCTTAAGTGATTCTCTTGTGTCAGCCTCCCAAGTAGCTGGGACTACAGGCACCTGCCATAACACTCAGCTATATTTTGTTGTTGTTGTTGCAGTTGTCATTGTTGTTTAGCTGGCCCAGGCTTGGTTCAAACCTGCCACCCTCAGTGCATGTGGCCAGCACCATAACCACTGTGCTACGGGTGCCAGCCCAAACTAAATTTTAACATCAAGTCTTATGCCAACATGAGTTAAAATTCTTACTTTACTGATTTATTCGAGACACGGCTCTCCTCTCACCCTCAAGGGTCCTACCACTTGTCAGATCACACTTGCCTCCTGATTCTAGCTCCGTAGGACTCTTTCCTGACCCTCTCAGTCTCCCAAATCTCCTCTCACTCTTGCTCCACTCCAACTTGGGCATTTCCTGAGCACCTGTTCTGGGAAACCCTGCACAGGCTCTATAGATTGTCCTCACCCTGGAGGAGCTTCAAGTTAAACGGGAAATCTACAATTGTGCCTAGGTGGTTTCAGTATTCTGTGTGATATGCTATTGTACACTAAAGTTTGGAAGAGGTGAGGCCCAAATTGAGTCTGTGGTCTCCATGTGGAAAGGGTTCCAAGGGGGCATAGGAGGTAAGTGGAATGACCAAATACTAACTTGGAGTGGTTGGAAATATAGTATTCAGTATTGTTCTGTGTACTTCTCTGAATTTTGAGAACAAGCAAAGAAAAAAAAAATTAATGTCAAGGAATGTATAACAGGGATTATGATGCATAAAGGCCTAGCCACTTGGAAAGAGGCAGGGGCCACCTCCATCACAAAGGCAATGAATGGGGCTGGCCTACAGGTTTCACACCCTGCAGCCATCACACTGCAAATGGGACTCAGAGAAACAGGGCTGAGAGTTCAATAGACCTTTCAACAAAACCACAGCCCACAACAAAGGCACAGTGTGACCTTCTGTAGACCACATGCACAGTCACCACTATGATACCAATTATAGGGAGGAGGGAAATGCTAGCAAGCTCAAGACATTTGGGGACAACTTCACAACATGGTGCTTCCTAACTTTTATCCTTTTATTGTCTCCCTTCCATATACTTTAATAAAGATATTGAAAATATACGAGAAAAACTAAGGGGCCTGTGATAAGAAAAGCGCCCCCCAACACACACACAGCTCAAGTGGACTGCAGCACTAGAGAGGCAGAGAAACTAATGCAACTTTCACTTCCAGGGTCTCAGTGCTCCTAACCCATCCACAGCTTCCCCCTGCATTTCAGAAATTATTCTGGAGACTGGCTAAGCAGAGAGAAATAGACACAGATTAAATTCTTTTTTCTTTTTTTAGAGATAGAGTCTCATTTTATCGTTCTTGGTAGAGTGCTGTGGTGTCACAGCTCACAGCAACCTCCACTCCTGGGCTTAGGTGATATTCTTGCCTCACTCTCCCAAGTAGCTGGGACTATAGGTGCCTGCCACAACACCCAGCTATTTTTTTTGTTGCAGTTTGGCCAGGGCTGGGTTCTAATCTGACACCCTCGGTATATGGGACTGGTGCCCTACACACTGAGCCACAGGCACTGCCCAGATTAAATTCTTTATAAATAGAAATTTTACAGCTTAAAGGGAGATCTTACGTTAATGGCGGCCAAAGCATAATGTTTATACAGTTCAAAATCCCTTTAACACAAGATAGTCTCTCAGAAATAAAGGAAAGATAGTCTGAAGAGGGGGAAAACTACCTGGGTAATCTTACAACTACTGCTTGATTCCTTTTACAGCAAAATAAAGTGTAAATCTTACAAGGCATCAGCCTAGCTACTCATCAAAGATATTTAGCAAATGCACAGCTTCCAATGATCCCAAGCAGAAGCTTCCAATTATTTTTAATCATTCACTTAAGACTGGTTTACCAAGGTGCAGTAGCTCAAGCTTATAATCTTAGTACTTTGGGAGACTGAGGGAAGAGAATTACTTGAGGCCAGTAGTCCAAGACCAGCCTGGGGAACAATAGCAAGACCCTATCTCTGGGGGAAAAAAAAACAAAAAACAAGAAACAAAAAAATAATTGGTTTACCTACCTGTACATCCTAAAAGGAAGATTTTTCTCCTTTTCACAACCTCCTGTTCAAAAACTAAATTCCCTTTTTTCCAAAGAGAGGGCTGTGGGGGCCCAAGCATATTAGAGTTGCTGCAGTTAGCCAAGACAAATATGGAGAATGAATCCCCCAAGGAAAGTGTGATGCAGCTAACTTCCAGAACTCAAGAAGTCAGAAAAACATACGTGTTCCTCATGGTGTTTATAAACTAACACTTAATGGTGTGTGTGTAGTCCCAGCTACTGAGGAGGCTTAGGCAAGAGGATCACTTGAGCCCAGGCAGTATAAAAACAAAAGGTACACAATGGATGCAACTGAGCTCCAGGAACACAGCTCCCTGCTCAACTGGTGCGGAACTTTGATGCATTCTGAGCACTCCAGAATTAACTTCTGGTCCCACATCAGTACCGACCTACATATGAATGATTAAGTTACTGTTTCATGGGTTAATGGCTAATTATTTGGTTAGGAGTATTACTGAATATTGACCTAACTCTCTCAAATTCAAAGTTGTTTTTTTTTAAAGTTTTCTTAAGTTGGAACAACCCTTTTCTTTAGTATTTGTCTTGATAGTCTGTCTCACACACACATTCTCTTTCACTTTCACAGTGAGGATAAGCCATGGAAATGGCTCACCATAACAGAAAAATCTTATGCCATCTGTAGACCCAAAACTTTCCAATGCAAGCTGGCTGCTCAAGTGGCATGAAAGACCTTGTCAGTTCCACTGACCCTAATTTATGCAACTCAGTACCCATAAGAGCTTCAGAGTTTAAAAAAAAGTGTGCTGTGTCTTCCTGGGTGTTAGACCTACGCCAGATTTGCCTTTCCATCTGTTTTCCTCCAATAACAAAGCAGGGAGAACACCATCTATCTCCCCAGGTTGTGGTGAAGACTGAAAGAGATAACTATTTGCTTGAACACTGCTGGTTGTCATCTTCTCTCAGGACAGCCTAGTACTTTTCCAACTGAAAGTGGACTTGCGCAAATTAGCAGAAGCAAACCCACATGCAAATAGGCACACATGAGCACAGACATACATAGACAAAGCTACACACAGGCACAGGCGCGCACTCTGTGCCTTTGCACACTCATAAAGGCACAGATGGCACACATATACACAGTCACATGTATACACACGAACACATAGGGGTACAGGCACACGTGCACACAGGCAAAGGTGCACGCACACACGGGCATCCACGGGTGCAGGCACACGTGTAAACACAAGGGCACACACATACACGGAGACCATATATACAAGCACATCCACACATACAGAGGCACACACAGCCACACGTATACAGATGCACACGCGCACACACACGCACAGGCCCAGGTTCACAGAGGCACACGTACACACAGCCACAGACACAGGCCGCACCACTTGCCAACTCCCAGTAGCTTTGTTCCCCAGAACCCAGGCGCCGCCCCCCACCCCACCCCCGCCGTGCGCCCTCGCCCTGAGAGTCAGAGTTCGGCGAGGGCTGTAAAAAAGAGCACTTTACATCTGGGTCTCAGCAAACACTCCAACGGCCCCGGTGGCCGAGCGGCTGGCACTCTGGGGGTCAGGGCGGAGACCGTGCGGGCCTGAGGGCTTCTGTCACGTCGCCCTGCCCGCCACCCCCGCCACGTGGCCGCGCTCTCGCCCACTCCGCGCCCGCACCCCCCCTCCTCACCTGGAGCCCGCACGGACACTCTCGCTCTCCGGGCCCTGGAACATGTCGACCGCTACACGGTGCCTTACTCGGCCCGCCGCGCCGCAGTTCCCGCCCAGACTCGCGCAGGTACCCTAGGCGGTTCTCTCACGCCCATTGGACACAGCGACGCCAATCATGCTTCCGCAGCCACTCGCGGCGCGAACCCCGCTTACTGTTGCCGCCCCCCAATCAGTAGGCAGCTTGGAAGCCGATTGGTGGAAGCAGACGTCACTCACAGCTAGTTGGCTTAACATTAGGCAGCTGGCCGAGGGCGGACCCTGGGCGGAAGTAGGGATACTTGAGGGCGCTGGCTTAGACTGCTCGCTCTCTGCGGGTCCTAGACTGGCCCGCCAGCCCGGGCCCCTAGAGGGCACAAAGCCGGTTAAGAATAGGCACAAAAGACTATGGAACGACCATCGTTAGATCAAGTATTAGTGTATTTTATGCACAATAAAAACATTTACAAGTTGAACTGGAAATTTAAACAGAAGTTTAACAGCTCTTGTTTATTATATTAAATAACCAAAACACCTTTTATTCCCAAATTGGTAAAGAATAAATAATATAATTTACAATATGGTACAAAAAATAATCAGGAAAGACAGGCATTCTGCTTTATACATACACTATATTTATAATCTATAAAACAAATTCACATCTCAAACAAGCCGAAAACCTTAGATGATATGGCTTAACAATTATTAAAGGAAACAGCAATAATTTCTGCTGTCCGGACCATACCTAGAGCCAGTTATCCTTTTAGAGAACAAAGGGCATCGGTTGCTGTAGTGCTTCCAAGACATGACTTAAAGTATTGTGACATTAGGAGAACTTTGACAGCTGGTTTGTTGTATTTTTTTTAAATTCATCTTTTCTTTTTTTCTTAAGACAAAGTGCCATATTTCCTCACCAATGCATCTGCTAAGTCTCAATGCTTAAAGGGAAAACAAAATTGTCTTCTTCCCTTGCTCCCAGTGTTTTGTATCTCACAACTTTATTTGCAGACCAAGTTTGGATTCAATGGTGTAATCTAGTTAAAGACACTATTAAACTGAAAAGGACATCCACCAGAAATGAGGCACCATACAGAATAATAAAGAATGGAATTCTGATGCTACGAAACTGGAGATGTGTGGGAAAACAAGCAGATCAAATGAGGAAATGACCCCACAGATTCCCACTCCCTGAGCAAGTACTCTACACCTATGATACAGAAAGATGAAAAAATGTCATGAAAGTATGAAGTTCAACTTGCCTCCCCATCTTCTAAAGGATGGAATCCTTTACTGTACATTCACAATCAACAATCAAAGCCAAAACACTAACTTCCTTGACACTAAAGATACTCAGTCTCAATCTTTAGAAAAGATGAATCAGCAGAAAGACCTCAGACAAGATTAGAGGGATTAGGGAAAGATTTTTTCTAAGAAACTGATCTCATCTGAATCCACAACATGTTCAAATGCACAAAGGAGGCCACATGTTCCTAATGAGACTCATAACTTCCCTTGGAAAAGCACAGGAAGATGCAGAAAGTAGACAGCCTTTCTGCTGGAGTTTTTGAAGATTCCCACCTTTAACATTGCCTTTGTTTGTACTAAAATATTCATTTAGGCTGGGAGAAAATGCATCCATTGTTTTTCATTTGTAAATTTCCCCTTCTTATGGCAAGCAAATGTATACACCCATCTGGCAGCTAGAAAAGAAGCAGAATTCTCTGGAATCCTGTCAGCTTTAATCCAGGAGAGATGAGTCAGTCCTCTCTCTTCCCTAAACTACCTACCCACTGGATGACAATAGCTACAGTCAGCTGCTCCCAGAGAGAGTCTAAGCCAGAGCACAAAATGGGGGCTACTGTTATAATGAGCCTACAAAAGCAGATACCAACCTCCAAAGTTTTCTCCATTAGATATCACTGGGCAAAAGGAGCCAAATGACATACTACACTGCCTCAGGGCGTCCTCTGACAGGCCACCCCTACATCCCTGGCACATAATGCACTGCCACTGGATACTGCTTCCAGCATCAATGTGATATTGTTACTTGGCATCTCTGGCCCTAGACTATGAGAATGTGAGAAAGCTAGTAGTAGCCTAAAATCAGCTTGGTGTCCTAACCTACTGTAGACCTGGCAAAGTCAGATGCCCAGCAAGGGAGAGCTACTGATCTTCAGCTCAATTAGATGCTAATTTCAGAAGACTGACATATTAAGCATTAAATATAAGCTAGTTTAAAGATACTCTGGTTCAAACACTGCTGTCTATTGCTCTTAATAAAGTGGCACCATGTTCCTTTTTTAATCCCTCCAGAGCTTTGGGACTTTTTCCTAAGATTCTGTGTCAAGGACTGAAGGAGGGAAACCACCTCAGAGGCAAGAGGACCAAGAAAAACTTGTGGGAAGAAAAAAGGAAGCTCTTGCCTGGAAGCCTGCTGTCCTGCAGTGTATCACCGCCTGGGGTCTACAGCAGCAGCAGCTGCAGCTGTAGGACTGCAGAATCAAAGGCATCCACCTGCTTGTCCATGCCGAGGCCTTTCTTCTGCCTTTTCAGTGGGCTTCCTTCTTTGTAGACAGGGAGAGAAGCTGTGGAGAGGGCTAGGGCAGCCTTGAGGACTGCTGCTTGCCTCATGAATGTGGAGAGGATCAGTCCCAGCTGCTGGGTGGGGGTTAAGCAGGAGGTGAGATAGGGGTGCAGGCATCACCTGCCCAACACCACAAAGGTGGCTCCTGGCCACAAAGGATATGGCTGGACGGTGACTTATGTGCTTAGAACTCCTGAGGCTGAGAAGGCAAAGGAGCCCTTGTTAGTTCCATTCTGGCAAAAGAGTGGACGTTGGGCCATCTGCAGTTATAATACTGATTACCTGGAGGGGCTCAAAGAGGGAGACCACCAAAAGGGGGTTTGGTGAGCTCTGACTACATCTGGACATCTAAATCCTTGCCTAGGTGCCCTGAACAGAAAGAAGAGAAACAGGAGGCCTTGGGGCAAAGGCATGCGTGAGGGATTAAGTATGTACATCAGGCCTACACCAATGACACTGGAAGGAAGAGAAGGCTCTGAAGGAGAGAAAACTTTCCCTGAAAAGGCAGATTTTTCCCAGATATCAAACAATAACACACAAGTTCAAGAACTCATCAAGAAATTCTCTTCTGTAGTCGCCTTAGTGCTTAGGGGCCACCCCAACAGATCCCTGGGAGAAACCTGCAAATGGACATAGGTAGGAAACCAACTAAATAGGGATTCGTCATCGTCTTCCTTATCTCTTAATTCTTAAAAACATAAGAAAAACATTTTCAACCAGCTTAGCAGGACCATACATAAAGTCCACACGACCTGCATAAGGTGTGGTTCTTGTCCCCCTTCCTGTGAAGTCAGGACAGCCTCTAGATGGAGAGCACTAGAGGGTGAGTGTTTATGGACTGATGGCACTGGCTACAGACCTATGACCTTTGAGTGTTTGCAGTCTTAGGGTACAGGCAGGAGCCCAGGCCACACCCAATAGTCCTACCCCATCCTTCCTTCAGAGGGAGCAATCCAAGTGTGACATTGGTTTGGCAGAAAGAATGCAGCAGTGGCCTGGGGCCTCCCTGCCGAGAAAGGGGAGACAACACCTCCCCAGCATGCAGCAACTACACCAAGGCACACACACTTCCTTCTTTCAGAAAGAAAACCCACCGGAATGTCCAACACAACAATTGAGGCAGAGTACGGACTGAAATGGCACAGCTACACACATCCTAACACAGGGCCCAGTGACTGGCAAGGAGCTGCTCCGGCACCACAGCAATTTCTGATGTCAGCCCTCCCCAAGAACTCTTCCTGGTCTCTCAGGGTATCACTGCCCTCTGCTTGTGGGGACACAGCTCATGACCAGGGGTTCCACATGGGGCACATTCTGGGGTGCAGAGGTGCCTCTCTTCAGACCATCTTCTGGAGTTCTGAGCTCAATTTGTTCTCTCTAGCTTGAAGAGGGTTTCATCTACCACAAACCTCTAGCCCCACAAGTTCTCCTTTGCAGCCTCCAGGATACACCTGGTCTGAGGTGTGGTCACTGAGATAGGTCGCCGACAGGGGGGCCGCCTCCACCACCATCAAACAGAACCTCTCGGCGGCTGGGCTCAGCGATGGACAGCTCTTGGGCCAGATCATTGAACCGAGATATGTAATCGATGCTGTTTTCATTCATCATGCACACCAGCTGGGAATCCACCACCTGCAGGATAGAAGAGATGGGGCCAAGTCAGCTGGTGGCCGGCTGGCCCTTCAGCAAAAGGTGGCTCCCTATAGAGAAGAAAAAAGTCTCCCATCAACTCCTGTGGCTGGAATCAAGCCATAGATGGTGGCCCAGCATACTCTAGAGAATTTTAGAATTACCTGTCATCCATACAAATGCTTTGTACAAGTACTCATAGTGAGTCTCCTGTCAGCCTGGCACAACTGACTGATAGGAGAGTAGGGGGACAGTCACACACAGGATTAGTGTAGTATGCAGTGGGATAAAAAGACTGAGGAACAGCCTAAGGAAACAAACAGTGAGGAGACAGAGTTTGCCAGGGGAGGGGTCCAAGGACTGGAGCCTGAGCAAGGTGGGGTACATTTGGAGGACAAGCTGGGGGGTGTTCCTTTCAAAAGAAACAAGTGCAAAGGCCCCAAGGTGGGAATAGGCTTCCATGGTTCAAAAAGCACAAGACAGATGGTGGCCATGACATAGTGAGTGAGGCAGAGTGGAGAGGAGAGATGCATGGACAGCAAGACCTTAGCACAGGGTTTTTTGTTTTTTTTTAATAAAAGAATATTTTAATTCTTCTCTTCAGAAACTACAAAGACTATACATGATTTGGAAATAAGACTGTACCAAAGTTGAATCGTCCATTCTATTCCTTCTCTTTTGCCTGGTCACTCAGAAATATAATATTATCAGCTATGATTGTTGTTGCTTGTCGCCTCACATTATTTTTATCCGTGTATTCTCCATAGTCTACTTTCCCTTCAACATCAATTCGAGATCCCTTTTTCACATACTGATAGGCCACATCTCTGAGGCCTGGCCAGAATACTGATATTCTGTGCCATGTAGTCTTTTGACTGATATCACCCATTTGGTATACTTCACTGTCCCCTGATCCCCACATCTCATTTGTTGCTATAGAAAATATTGTGACTGGATTTTTCCCTTCCACCTGTCTCATGACAGGGTCCTGACCCACTCGCCCAAGTAACTGCACACAATTTAAGGATCTTTCCAGAACTAAACTGCTAGCTATTTCAGACTCATGTCTTACAAACTGATGAAGTACCTGAAATACAGGTCTTCGAAACATGGCTTCTACTTTCTTTTTTCACAATCTAATCTTTAGGCTCTTCCCGCTGTTCTATAGCAGCCCGCCGCTAGCACAGGGTTTTGATCCTGTGCACACATACAGGGAACCTGCTGTCTCCACTATTTATCTTCTGCCTCCTGTGCTTGAGTGGAACGGTTCTGAAGACAGGGGCCTTTGTTTGCACATAGTAGGCTCTGAATAAATATTAGATAATGAACTGCATGGCATTATGAACAAATGAGAAGGCTTTGGGAAACTCTGAGTAGAGCTTTGGTATCAACCAAATTTTAAACTTTTTATTATGGGAAACATCAAACTAATTTTTAGAAAGCAGAGCCGATAGAAATTCCCCTACCCCAGGTTCCATCATCAGCTTCCATCTTCCCCAACCCAGGGCCAGTGCAGCTCTACTTCTCCCTACCTACTGCACACCCACACTGCCTTTAATCAAATCCCACCAACAGACTGTCTCCTCCACAGACTCTTCAGACTGTACATGTAGATAGCCTACCTTACAAACACATCCCTGTTTTAAGTGTAGAGTTCTCAGTAATATCCTTTACTAAACATTTATCTACCATTTCTGCAGGAAAAGATGTGTTTAAGTTACTTACTAAGGACATAGTACTTCAAAATCATCTTTGGTTCGTGTTGCTCATCTTTGGTTGTGGTGCAATGTGTCACCCAAGGATCTTGGGTGCAAATTCTAATTTGGGGGGCCTGGAGAAAACCTGAGAATCTGCATTTTGAACTCTGAGGAATTTCTGCAGCTGGTCTGTGGACCATTGTTTTAACAGCAAGGTCCTGGCATATTGTCTCATGGTATTTGTGTAGTATCTGTCTCCACAGAAACTGGGTATTTATAAACATCCACAGAAACATAGGAAGGGAAAGAGACCAGTTTCTTGCAAACCATCAATGTTCCAAGGTGTGCTGTGAAGGAAGATTCTATGGCCAGACAGGTTGAAGAAATGTTACACACTGTGGGTTGGAAATTTATTGTGTTATTGCTTTATGTGAGATGAAATTTCTAATCATATCATGACTTGGCTCAGAATTCTCCGAAGACTTCCCATAAGTCCATCATCTCAAGATTCGTGATTTTTTTTTTTTTTTTTTTTTGCAGTTTTTGGCTGGGGCTGGGTTGGAACCCACCACCTCCAGCACTCCAGCATATGGGGCCAGTGCCCTACTCCTTGAGCCACAGGCGCTGCCCATGATTAACATTTTTTGAACTTTTTTTTTTCTTTGAGACAGTCTCAAGCTGTCACCCTGGGTAGAGTGCCGTGGCACCATTCCAACTCAGGCTCAAGCGATCCTCTTGCCTCAGTTTTTTTATTTTTAGTACAGATTGAGTCTCACTTTTGCTCAGGCTCGTCTCGAACTTGTGAGCTCAAGCAATCTACCTACTTCAGCCTCTCAGAGTGCTAGGATTACACGCGTGAGCCACCACGCTTAGCCTTTTTGAACTTTTTTTGATTCAGGGTTTCTCTTAAGCATCAGCCTACAAATTTCTTGAGGAATATCTAGTACTGTCTCCACACCCAGGAACTAGGTTTGGGAAATGCTGCTCTCAGGCTGGTACACCAGAATAAGTCCTCCCAGTGGCATTCCAGATGGAAGACTCTCCCTCTGCGTCTACTCTCCTCTTCATCTCTGTCCAAGCACTGCTGCCTTGTACCTGGCAACACAGTTAAATTACCTCTCTGATCTGCACTCTTTCAGCAAGCCTCTCACTCTGCAAGCCTGACTTGCCCACAGATGCCACTCAAAACACGTAATGGACATCTGGGTAGCTATGAGCAGACAGCCTGGTCAAATGCAAGGGAAGGGGGACACTGTATCTGGTCAAGAGGAGAGTCACACATGGAGTTCTGCTCCACACAGAAGTTCTGCCAAAATGTGACTCCTACTATTGTCAGCCTGAGTATGGGAAAAGCAAAAGGCTGGCAAAGAAAGACCACTGCCTAACCTGCAGAACCAACCAAGTGACACCAGACTGGCCAGAATACACTGAAGGGAGATTCTGTTCGAGGATTCCCTGCTGTTAGGACAGGAGTGGTGCTGACAGAACCTCTCACTACCGCCATATTCTCCACAATCAGCAAACAGGTAGCCCAAAATCACATGGCTGGTGAAGGGCACCCAAAGATCTAAACTAAGCTCCAGCCACCTTCAGAGACCCCGCTCTCCACCTGACACCAGTGCTTCTCAGTCTGGATGTCTTCAGGGCTCAGCTGGTATATAGTCCGTCACTATGCCATGCAGGGATGAACCTCAGCCTAGCCTTGTCAGCACTCTCCGTTCTCAGGAGTGTGTGTATGTGTCTACATTCCTGGAAGCAGTTCCTAGTAACACATAAGTCTGCAGGAGGGATCTGGCAACCTCTGGAGTGGGGCTAGGTGATCACATTCAGGTATAAGATCGGTGCACTTACCTCTGCAACATCAGCCAGGGACCTGGACACAAATGAGTCCCGTGAGTTTCCATCCAATAAGCTGGGGCCAAGCAAAGAGGTACCACTGTTGGTCCCAATGGGAGTTGGCAACATCTTCCGGCTCTTCTCTGGGGAAATGAAGCTTGCTGCAGAGAGAGGAACAGAGGAAAATACTCTGAAATCCAACTTGGCCTAGGACAGTTCAGTGGGAGGGTCCGGAGGGTCCTGAGGCTGGGGTGGCAGCCAGACTTGGCCCCAGCCCAAGCACCTACTAAAGGCTCACATGAGGTGCTTTAGATGGAAAAGATGCTGAGAAACTGTCTTTCCCAAACCAGGATCCTTGGAGCACAGGTACAAGTCTTATTTTCTAGGAGTCCCTGGTGTCAGGCTCTGGAACCACTCCTACACCCTATATGTTGTTCTCTGGGAACAGTTCCCCAGAACTGGGCATTCAGGTTGTCTCTGACTTTTTTTGACTTAAATATATTTAACTTTGCACATGTCTGTACTGTTATATGTGACAGTGGAAGATGTATGAGCATGCTGGGTCTCTCGGCACCAACCAGATCTGGGACTCTGAATTGCTCTAGGCCATTAGGCATATTGCTCCCCACATATGGGCTGACTAAGCTGTGTGTAATCCACCCTGTGGCTGCTTGCTTGGACAGTGATCCACATGCCCTGGCTTGTGCCAGGGGCCCTGAGCCCCTTCCCCATACACTCACCAAACAAGCTGCTGAGTGAGGAGTCTGTAGAGTCACTAGGGTACCACTGAGGGTCATGGGTAGGAGAAGCAATCCAGTCCGGCTGGGGGCTGCTGGCTGGGGAGGGAAGACTCTTAGAACTGTCACCACCATTCAGCTTTGCTGGAGAAAGAGGAACTCCTTCACCTGCCCACCAAAATCCTGGGTCAGAGATGCTGCACAAGGGAAAAGTCTGATCCCTGCTTCCCTAACCCATCACTAAGAAGGGAGTACGGTCATGCAGCCAAGCACTGCTGAGCTGGGAGACCCAGCACCCTGATGGCCTCTATACCACAACCAACAACCTGCTCTCAGGGAAGGATCACAGAGCCTCCAAGATGGCTTTGTGTGGGAACAAAGGACATAGGGCAATAATAATGGCAGCAATAACCACAGATGAAGCTAAGTCTTTGCCATGATCTTTAAGTGAATCATCTCGCTGGTACTGACAGTGGGCCTATGATGGCCACATTGTTCCCAACTCATTGCTTAGGAAAGTGAGGCTCAGAAACTGGTTATCTGCCCAAGGCCACCTGCTAACAATGTGTGGGCTCATGTCTATGTGAACCCACAGCCTGAGTCACACCAGTAATCAGCAGCCACATCACTCCCCCCAAGAGCATCACTTAGGCCAGGCCCAACCCTTGCAGGTAGCAGTCAGGCCATTTCCTAAAAGCAGTGATACCCACAGGTTATCTGCCCATATTCCAAATCAGCTAGGAAAATGCCACTCTGACACTGTGTTTAAGAGGGCCTCCAGTGTCACCCTGTTCTCACCTCAAGGTCAGAAGAATCCTACCAGACCCCTCCATAGCCTCAGGTCCACATGCAACTTGTCCATTTGCACTGCCTCTGCCAGGGCCAGGCATACCTCATAGGTGGCAGGTATCCAATTCTCAAGAAATGATAGCTAAACTGGAACATTCCCAGCAAGTGTGGTGAACGCTCAGGCAGGAGGTCAAGACCCCTGATTCCAGGAAAGGGAGGCTGCCCTGCTGCTTACCATATTGGCCAGAGCTGATGGCGATCTCGATGATGGAGTCACTGATGTGTGTGGCAGGCTCTCCCTGCGAAAGCGCGTCCTCAGGAGGGCCTGGAAGGGAGATGTCCAACAGAGCAGAGACGTCGGGTGGAGAGAGCCGGGAGCAGGGAGCCTCTGATGAGGATAGTGTGGACATCCCATTCTGGAGCGGAGCCTTGGGCAGCTCAGATAAGGAGAGAACAGATGAGCCCTGCTAGGAAACAGGTATTGTTCAGACACAACCAATCAGAACCTATGACGAAAAATCAACCTTAACCTCACAGCTGGGTGGGTGAGTGATGGGCAAATCAACAGAGGTGATTAAGTGCCACTGCCTCCTACACACCTGGGGAATTTACTTCTGAAACCACATGAGAGGACTGAGTCAAGGGCCAAGCTTCAGTGGCCTAAACTGCTTCTACTGGTGCCAGGAGTTTGACAGCGCACGGGTACAAGTGGGTACTGGGGGGCTACCAGCCTGCGGCTTCTTCCTCCCTGGCTAGAAAACAGTCCTTTATCCAGCCTTGTGAGGGAAGAAGAGCACCTGGGGTAGGAGATAGCCTCCAGAGACTAGGCACAGGGGTAGGGGGCAACAAAGTATCAGGTTGATCCAGGGGAGAGATACTGGCAGGAGCAGGGTTAGGGATTAGGGCACTGCAGGGGTCTTAGGTCAGCTATTTTGTTTAGCAGTTCAAGAGCATACCTACCTGGAAATTGTCTGTCACCGATTCTTGTTCAGGTCTCGAGGGGACACTGACAAATGGGTCACCTGTGCCCTGTGAGAACCACAAGCCCACCTGTAAGCACCACGCAGTGTGCCAGACACTGCCCAAGCCACCACCTGGGACATAGCTCCAGAGTCAAGAGCTGTCTCGTCACCCTGGCCTCCTAATGGCAGAGTGACAGTTAAGAGGAAGGGTTCTAGGTGAAAATGCTAAAAGCCACTTTCAGAGTATGGGCCCTGAACTCAGATGTTTTGTTGACTCTGGGGGTGAACTCAAGTCCTACCAAAAAGAAACAGGCAGGGCTGGACTCCCTTCAGTCCTGATAGGGTCAGTCCACCCCTTCCACGAGGCAGCTCTCATGCAGGCCACAAGAGGCCAGAGAAGCTAGACCATATGGAGAAGTGGTTAAGGAGTAATGGTCAAGGTCATCAAGATACTCTTTCATGCAGGTGAGAGAAATGCTCAGTAATACTCAGCAGAGCCCCATGGGCTTGCTATTGGCCGGCTTGGTTAGTTATTCCCAGACCAAGCCACCCTCAACATGTATCCCAGCTCTAGACTCTCCATTGCCACATGGCAAGACTATTTCCCCATACGCCCTCAGTGGGTTGAACCCTCTACTGTTCTCTGCCATGGTGTGGCCTCCTAATTCAGATGCTTTCTCTAGTCCACAAGGTCCAAGCTTTCACATGGCAGCACTGGAGTCCCGTGTTATCTCAGCCCCATGTCCTGGGCTCCCACCCCAGAAACTGTGGTTAATGCTGAGTTTCAAGTCCTTTGAAGCTACTCACTCCCATGGCGGACACACGGTCTCCATTCTGGTGGGCCACAGTGGAGTCCTGAGCAGAGACAGCAGCTGCTACCTCATCTGAAGATAGTGTAGAGAGGCCAGACAAGCCCTCGGTGTCCAGGACAGGGAGGGGGCTCCCGGGTATGATGCCTGCACTTTTAGCAGCTAAGTCGATAGCACCTGGCAACAGAAATGACACTTCAAGTCTCTTCCCTGCTGATATTCCACAGTGTATCCCAAGGGGGTTCAGGAACAGCTTCTCCCTCACACCTCATTTCAGTGAAAGAGCTTAGGACTCTGATGGTTCTTCTGAAGGGTAATGAGATATAATTTAAAAAAAAAAACAACTAAAAAACCTTGTGACAAAAACCGTCAGAATTTCAACCCTTAGCCAAATTTCATATAACTATCACTGTATAGGTCACACACTTACTGGCTAGGTGACTCGAGGCCTGGGATGGAAGGACCTTGGGCACAATCGGCCTAGAAAGAGCTGCTTTGGTCAGAGAAGACTGGATGGGCCGGAATGAACCTCTCCCTGCAAGGGCAAGGATAAAAGCAAACATGTCAACCCTGCCCAATCGTTGCTTTCCCTTGTAGAGGCTTCCTTCACAACCATTGTCAGGATTGGGAAACTGAGCAAAGGTGGAAGCCACTAAACATTCCAAACACACACTAACTTGGGCAGTCAAAAATCACGCAGGCCCCAACCAGAGACATCATCTCTGGCATCTGCGATGGTGGCACCATTGTGCCTCCCAGGAGCTGCTAAAAGACTGCGATCACAACTGCCATCTTAGACTGAGATTCTGCTGTTGCGATTTGGTTTTATATTGCAAGGATTCCTGCAGTTAACAAAGGGGCATGAGGAAAAGCAATGGATAGCCCTATGGGTCTTGTAGTAAGTTACTATGACAATGACTCATAAAAAAAGGTATATCACAGAGAGTATTTCACTGAAGGACTCCTTGTATAAGCTTTACTTCAAAGAGCCAGGGCCTCCTGACACATAGACCATGGATGCCGCTCATGCTGAAAGTGTGATTCATAGCCCCCAACAACATATCTACTCCATATCATACCCGACAAGGCAGTACAGATAGAAAGTGGGCAACAGATGCAAACGCTCCACTAAATTGAACTGAGCAAGGATCCAAAACAGGTCCATCTGAGCCTGCACTGGCAGAGGCCCCTCTAGGCCACTTGCCACTCAGTCACTTTTTTTTTTTTTTGTGAGACAGAGTCTCACTATGTCACCCTTGATAGAATGCCGTGGTATCACAGCTCACAGCAACCTCCAACTCTTGGGCTTAAGCGATTCTCTTGTCTCAGCCTCCCAAGTAGCTGGAACTACAGGCACCTGCCACAATGCCTGGCTATTTTTTTGTTGTAGTTCTCCTTGTTGTTTAGCAGGCCGGGGCTGGGTTCAAACCTGCCAGACCCAGTGTATGTGGCCGACACTCTAACCAATGAGCTACAAGTGCCAAGCCCTGCCACTCAGTCTTATGCCTTGCCTACCACTGTAGCCAGACCCAGCAGGGGGCATACCAGATATGTGTTGGTAGAATGAACGCAGGAATGCTTGAAATGTCACTCAAAGAGCCATGGAAATAAACACCTACTGTTCCCAAGCACAAGGCCACACTCATGTAAAGAGGAAGAAACAGTGATAGTATGAAGCCTTAGGTCCTTACCAGTTATGGAGGAATTAGACATGATGGAGAAGGAACAAACGTTGTGGGACTGGTTTTCAGGTCTAGGAAGCAGCGTTCTCTGTAGAGGAAAAATTACAATCAAAGACATGAAAAGACTCCCATGCTCAAAAGATCACTCTAGAAATTGAGTTACAAAGGGATGTTCCAAATAAGAGGGAGCTGAGTCTAACCACAGGAGGTAAAGTGATGACAGCCTGAGACAGGTCTTGTGGAAACCAAGCCTCAGAGCACTGGGTCCTCTATAAAAGAAACCCAGAGAATCTAACCTTTCCCAGGGAAAACTGGAGGACTATCAGAATGATCTCCTTTTAATGCAGAATGTTCTTCTGCATTTGGCTGGAATGCAACTAGTTACATAAATTTGTTTATAACCACTAGATGTGGACTTTTACAAGAGATACTCCCTTACATTGGGTTTCCTCATTTATGGGGTGAAGGAGATGAAGTTCCTGGCTTATAGCCCAGAGGCCCTAAAGGGCATAAGTTGCTTCTTCATAGGGCTCCGTGGTGAATAATTATACTTCAAAGTGCTCAGATCATCTTTTGAATGGTGATGACTACCACCTAAGCAATTATATTAATCATTGAAGTTGCCAGTAATCAGAACATTAGCAAAAGGCATCTGCCAACCCAAGTGCCATGAGCCACTTCAGCTTCTGGGCATACAGCTGCCATTCTATGCTATCTTATCGAGGACTCAGGCTCACTGAGACCACTCCCTGACCCTCAGAGATGCCTCGCGGTGTCAGTGTCAGCAGAAGCTACAAAGGAGCTAACAGCAGCAGGTGTGGCCTATACACAACATGAAGAGCAGTGCACATCTGTGCTATTTCTCACCAATAGCTAACAGGGACATATCATGCTCTCTCTAAAGAGGGCCAGGTAGGGCATATTTTAGGCTTTGAGGACATACTTGACCCTGCCCTTGGGAAACAGCCAGAGATAGTACAGAAATTAATAAATGTGGCTGTGTGCCAGTAAAACTTTATATACAAAAATATTAAATGGAAAAGACCACCATCATATTGGATGACCCCTATTTATAGGAAATGCCTAGAATAGGCAAATCCATAGAGATAGAAAGCAGAGTGAGTTAATAGTGTTTCCTTCTGGGGTAATAATACTGGGGTATCAGATAGTGGGGATGGTTGCATAACCTTGTAAATAGACTATAAGCCACTAAATTACATACTTTAAAAGAGTGATTTTATGGGGTGTGAATCTTGAAAGCTGTTTTAAATTAAAAAAACAGTCAAGCTTGACTAGGACCCTGCACTGAATAGCTACAGAGCTTACAGTTATCTTTCTATTTCAAATGCAAAAAACTAAATGTACCCAGATTAAAATGCAGTTAACACTAAATTAGTCTGAATAAAGAATACCTACGATTTAGAATGCATCTTTCTTCCTAAGATCTTTCATGAAATCATTCATTTCTAAATAAACTAATCTCAAGAGAGAAAAAGATTTCTAAGAATCTAACAAAAGCATTAATCCAAAAAAAGAAATACACGTTAATAAATTTCTAGGCATAGTTATTTGACTTGCAGCCTCACTTCCCTTATCTTATACCTCAAAATGACAATGTACTCTTTCTCAAGTGCCTCTAATTCCTAAGACTTCTTCCTTGGTTTTGCACATGGCAGTTACGGGTCTTCCCAGTGTTCATTAATATGAGCACACAAGGTCTGGCTTCTGGCTAACCCACATACCTTGCCAACCGCTTCCAATGACTAAATAATTATGAATATTCTGATAATCCTTAAATATATCCTAATCTGAGACATTCTTGGGACTCGAATCCCCAGAATTTTGTCTTTTTTCCAAGGAGTTTTCAATGTTGTTCAAAGATTATCCTTACATTTAGGTACCATTAAGTTCACTGCTGCTCTTATTTACCCTCTTTAAAAGAAGGAAGAAAGGCGCATGGATTTCCCCCCATTTTACACAATAAAAACCAGTGTGTCTTGGTCAGCTCAGCCAGCAGGAGAGCCAGGGAGGCCCGGCTCAGGATGGCACATGAAGACTTGAACAAGGTGCCCTGACCTGGACCACCAATGGCTTCCGCAGGTGCCGGTTCCGCAATTTCCTGGGTTTTGGCAAGAAGAAGTCCGACTGCATCTGTAAGGGAAAGAACACCTGATCCCTGAAGGTACATTCTCCATAAACACAGGGTAGGGGTGGGGGAACCCCACCCTCAAGGTAGAGAGGCCCCACACTTACGCTGATGGAGTTTAGGTGCTGACGGAAAGTCAGTTCTGCTTCTTTACTGGGAGAGAAAAGCTTCCCATGGCGGCTGTTGGGTGGCAAAGTTGTTGGGACAGCAAAAAGGCTACCATCTGAGTCACTGCTTCCTGTGCTAGAAGAACCAGCTACCAAGAGGGGTCTTGGAGGGTTTCGCAAATCTGGAAAAGAAGTTAGAATCAACACACAAACCCTCCTCACTCAGCAGCATCTCCAGGGGTAATGGTGTTCTACTGGACCAGCAGCAACTCCAGGGGTAATAGTGTTCTACTGGAAGAAAATCAGAAAGAAATTCCCTTTATCTCAGTTGCACAAGAAGGTTGATTTTTTATTATTCTCACTGAAATTCTTCCATTTTGAGCAGATCACACTCTGTTCAATGCTTAGGAGAAGGGCAGAGAGCACATTAAGGACTTTTCAGAAGCCAGGGCAGTGGTTCACACCTGTAAAAACCCCAGTATTTTGAGAAGCCAAGTTGGGAGGATCACATAAGGTCAAGAGTTTGAGACCAGCCTGGACAACACAGTATAAGACTCCCATCTCTATTTTGTTAAATATACACATACATAAAATTTTTTTTTTCTTGTAAAGTTCTCAGAACTTTATCACTCTGGGTAGAATGCTGTGGCATCACACAGCTCACAGCAACCTCCAACTCCTGGGTTTAGGCGATTATCTTGCCTCAGCCTCCCGAGTAGCTGGGACTACAGGTGCCCACCACAATGCCCAGCTATTTTTTTTTTGTTGCGGTTTGACCGGGGCCAGGTTTCAACCTGCCACCCTCGGTGTATGGGGCCAGCGCCCTACTCACTGAGCCACAGGTGCCGCCCCAATATATCTTTTTTTTTTTTTTGCCAGGGCCAGCTTTGAACCTGCCACCTCTGATATATGGGGCTGTCGCCCTACTCCTTGAGCCACAGGTGCCACCTATACACAAAATTTTTAAACGGACTTTTCAGAGCTAGAAGAGCCTTCAAGATGACCCCTACTACACACCAGAAACCAGCAAACTTCTTGGTAAAGGGCCAGATAGTCGTCAGCTTTGTAGATTACATCATCTCTGGGGCAACTCCACTCCACTTGGCAACACAGAAACAGTTATGGACAACAGGTAAACCAATGAGCATGGCTCTGTGCCAGTAAAACTTCACTTATATGCAGGGGGCTGGATCTGGGCTGCAGACTATAGTTTGTTGAAGCCTGGTCTAATTTCCTAGTTTTTAGAAAACAGACCCACAGAAAGTAATTATTTGAGACTAGTATTATGAGATTCAATCCGCTAGCTGTTTCCATCATCACAGATGCTACAAATCACATTAGGATTCATGGTGGGGACCAGCCCCCTCTCTATATTCGTTTTTTTTTTTTAATGTAATACTGTTTATTTAACTTCAAAAACATTTCAGCATTCTAAACATACAAAAAATAACAGAACATTGCAAATGTGTTTAAGTATAGAAAGTTCTTGAACTTTCATTGATGCAGTGGCTCTTCTGCTTGCTGCTTTGCCAACAATGAAGAGTTCTACAGTTTGTTTTAAAACAAACAGTTTAAAAACTACTGCACTTAACTTAAAAAAAAAATATCCAAACACTTCTCATGCCAGCTGACCCACCTTTGTCCACAGCTAAGAATGGCAGCAGAATGTTATGTCACTATATACAAAAACAGGACAACCTGAAGCTAAATGGATGCCTGCCGCAGTGTCAACAGGTCCAGCCCACAGTGCATGCCCTGAGCTACGGCCCCTCTGAAGGGCATCTTTCCCCATGGCCTTAATGCCAAGCAAGGAGCAGCAAGAGTTGGTCTCGGTTGTTTTGTTCTTTTTACAAACTATTGATATGTACAGTTGATAACTCAGGATTTCTAGCCAATAACCATATAGTTAACACCACCTTACAAATTAAAAAAAAAAAAAAATGCCAGAAACATCTTTAAATGCCTTGTCACACCAACAGCAAAGTGCACAGAGTAAGGAGAACACGAGAGTGCCTTTTCATTTTAAAAATGTTTGGAAATATGTACAACTTTGATACAGTTTCAAGGTGCTCCAGACACCTATGGCCACTTCATGTAAACCACTGACAATTTCTAGAGCACTTTGAGTCTATAATATGATCATGATCAAATTTTGTGATTAAACCTAATGAGGGCAATAGACATTTCTCAATTGAGAGATGTGTCATTTATGGCGCGCCCCTACTCTAAGGTATTCACAAGGAGACAGATAAAAACAGTTTTTTATTCATCCTCTTCTTCCTCCTCTTCTTCATCTTCATCTTCCTTTTCCACCTTTTTCCTGGCAACTTTAGTGGGACCCTTTGCGCCATCAAACTTTCCTTTAGATATAGTCAGTGACATCCTTCTCATACTTCTCCTTCAGCTTGGCTATCTTAGTGATGTAAGGCTGCTTTTCATTGTCACTTAAGTTATTACACATCTCACCCAGCTTTTTTGCCACATCTCCAATAGAGATACCAGGAGTTGTAGACTTGATCTTGGGGCGGAATTCTGAACAGAAGAGGAAAAATTCAGACGGTGGCCTCTTGGGGGCATTCGGGTCCTTCTTCTTTCCTCCTTTAGCTGGTCCACAATCCTTCATTTCCCAATCATAGCAGACTTCTATCAGCCTTTGCCATTTCATCAAATTTAGACTTCTCTTTCCCAGACATTGCCTTCCACCTTTCACAGCACTTCTTGGAAAATTCTGCAAAATTTACAGGGACCTCTGGGTTTTTCTTCTTATGTTCTTCTCTGCATGTCTGCACAAAGAAGGCACAGGCAGATATCTTGCCCTTTGGTTTCTTGGGGTCACCTTTAGCCATCTTGACTGTATTGTTTGCTAGTCTGGATAGCGCAGGGCACGACGCGTGGCTCAGCATTCTATTTTCTTTTTTGAGACAGAGTCTCACTAGATCATCCTTGGTAGAGCCATGGCGCCACAGCTCACAGCAACCTCCAACTCTTGGGCTGAAGCGATTCTCTTGCCTCAGCTTTCCAAGTAGCTGGGACTTCAGGAGCCCACCACAACACCCGGCTATTTTTTTGTTGCATTGGTTAGCTGGCCCAGTCTGAGTTTGAACCCACCACCCTTGGTGTATGTGGCTGGCGTTGTAACCACCGCTATGGGTTACATACGGGGAGCCCCCCCACCCCACCCCGCCTCCCGCTCTATATTCTTTATTGCAGATTGGTGAGATCAAACTGACAAAGGCTCCATGGTCCAGGTCTTCTAAACATTCGTGTGGATTTCTAGAATTACTGGCTCTTTTGTCTATAAGCATCGTCTTTCTTTCAGAAAGAGGAAATTAAAGAGTACATAGAACTAAGAAATTTAAACGTCAGAATGGAAAGCGGAAAAAGACTATACAACCAACAAGCTAGCCACTCACTGCTGAGCTTGCTTTTGTTCACAGGGACTCAGAGTTGGCGCCTTTTTCACCAGACAGCCAGGAAGGAAACAGAAGGAAGGGGAAGGAGAAACAAGAAAAGCAACTTCAGAAGGACTAGAGCCTAGCACAGCAACAGCCTAAATTTCCTCAAAGACCACCAGGAAGGACTCACAGCAGATATGAGTCTTCCAGCATGTAACAGGCAGGTTATTAACATTACTAATTAGAGAAAACATAAAGCCAGTGACATTCTCTGAAAGGAAAATTATCTTGGGAAATCTTTAATACGGCAGGACACTATGTGTCTGTTTAGCCAACCAGTGGCTATGTGTTTCGGTATGCATGGCCAGACCAGAGCTTTGCCTAATTCTGGGAGGCTGAGCAGATGGGGCTGCTGCTCACGTGATGCAGTCATCAGAGCAGTCACAGCACCCACAATGGCTGCAGTATCTGCAGCAATGCTGCCCGGGACTACAAACTTCATGTGAAAAGAGTGGAGGAGGCGTCCAGGGCACAGAAGGGCACACCCAGCCCTCAGGCCCTAGTGGTCCCTGCCTATGCAGTCATTCTCACCTCATCAGATTAGTCTTAGGAAGAGCAGAGGAACTAGCACAGCTCATACTAACCCCTGGTGGCACCTCCTCTGTGCCTGGGAAAGGGGACAAGCGGGCATAGCCATAGAAAATGTTCTTGTGGCTCGGCGCCTGTGGCTCAAGCAGCTAGGGCGCCAGCCACATACACCTAAGGTGGCAGGTTCGAATCCCCAGCCCGGGCCCGCCAAACAACAATGATGGCTGCAACCAAAAAATGGCCAGGCGTTGTGGCGGGCGCCTGTAGTCCCAGCTACTTGGGAGGCTGAGGCAGGAGACTCACTTGAGCCCAGGAGTTGGAGATTGCTATGAGCGTGAGGCCATGGCACTTTACCCAGGGGGATAGCTTGAGGCTCCGTCTCGAAAAAAAAAAAAAAAAAAGAAAAAGAAAATGTTCTTGTAAAATTTACCATCCTGGCTATGATAGTCTGTTTTATTATAATATGAATTAAAAGTAAGTAAAACTGATGTCTAAGGGAAACAGGTCATGCTCATCTTGGGGTTTTATGTCCCCAGTAACATAATTTATAAACCTTGAATTTGGATTATTTCCTACATACAACTGGCACAGAGCACACTATGGACAGCAGGTCATTCCATCTTTCTTTCTAGGACTGCTGGCATAACTCCTAGTTAAAATCTTCTTTATTCTAATAGTTTAGAAACAGAAAACAGATGCTATAGATTCAGGAACAACCTTCTCAAGTCAACCTTCTGTTAAGTTTTTGGTGGCCTCATGACACCTGCTGCAAAGCAATCAGACTGGCAAAGGCTACCCTGTCCTCTGCTTCTTGCTTGCTCCTACACCCACACCCTAAAGCCCCTTATGATAGGCCTTTGCACTCGCCCTTCCCATAGGAGGCTGCGATTTCTGTACCTTTACCCTATTTCCTGGACCATGGCACACCTGTGCCCTCAGCCTCAGCACAGCCCCCAAAAGCCCAGGACCATGGATGGCGCCTTCAGGTTGGACCAGGCATGGGCAAGCAAATCCTCCTATGCCTCACCTGAGGAGCATGGTGTAGAGGTGGGTGGGAAGGTCTTGCTGCTGCGGAGAGTGGCCTGGTTTCGGGGGCAGCGGGGGCTGCGGGAGCTGATGGTCACAACTTTCCCTGGGGGTGTTGTTGACTGTTCCTCCTGGGAGGGCCTCACTGAGGCTGTGGACGTGACACTTGCTTCTGGAGCCTGGGAAAGAAATGGGCCAAATAACATCCAAACTCAGCATATGAAAAATGGCTCTGAAACAGGTACCCTCCTACTCTTCACTTGCCCGTGAAGTCCAAGACTCAGAAATCATACTTCCTCAACAGCAAAGGTCAGTTGAGAGGCATGGAGCGACTTGCCCTGAAGTCACTCTGCAGCTTACCAATTCTAAAGATCAACAGTCAAGTGAGTAATGAGTACCTTCCTATGTCTTCACTGCCTACATGCTGATGGTGCCAAGGGCAGGAAGCAGGAAGGGCCTGGTCTGTGCCCTCTCTGAGAGAGGATGCAGGGATGTGGGGAGGCACTGAATGGCAAGTGACAAAACTGCATCAAAAAGCCAGCCTGAGATAACTCTAGTAGTCTCTTCTACTTGTAAGTCAGAGTAAGAAAATACAGCTTTCCAAAATCAAATGATCATAGTCAAAGGGTACTGTGTGGCAGCCTGAGGGTTTTTGCTGGCCCAGGATGCAGCTGCAGACCTGGGCAGAGTCATGGGGTCCCTGCCATAAACCACAGATGCCCCACTACCCTGGGAAGACTGGGCTGATGTCCTGGCCCTCAGCTCTCTTACTTCTCACTCCTGGCACCCACCCCAAGGTCCCACCTTGCACAAGCTCACCTGTGAACGATGCATCTGTGCTTTCAGCATAGCTTTGCAGACTCTGTTGGCTCAGCCCCTGGGCCCAACCCCCTTTGCTGTTCCACAAACCTCATGAGCCTAGCATCCCTTCTTCACATTTTCTACTCCTTCCTGACCAGTTGAGCCAGCCTTTAGCATCTCCTGATCTGTGGGGCTTGGACCTTCTGGGGCACTTGCCTGTCACAGCTGTACCCGGTGAGAAATGGCACTGGGCAGGCTCGGCACCCATAGCTCAGTGGTTCACGTACTGACCACATACATAGACTAGCGGGTTCGAACCTGGCCCAGGGCTGCTAAACAATGACAACTGCAACCAAAAACTATCCAGGCGTTGTGGCCTGTGCCTTTAGTCTCAGTTCCTTGGGAGGCTGAGCCCAAAGGTTTGAGATTGCCATGAGCTGTGATGCTATGGCACTCTACCGAGGGCGACACTGAGATTCTGCGAAAGAAAGAACGAATGAACGAATGAATGGAAAGAAAAGAATGAAAAGAAAAGAAAGAGAAAGAAAGAAAGGAAAGAAAGAAAGAAACGGTACTGGGAGAAGCACCCCAGACTCATGCAGTTAACCTCTCTAATTCCAGGTCTCCAGCTTCAGCTGGGCCTCTGGCAGCAGTTCCCATACCTTAACTGGACCAGTCACCTGGGGTTGGCCCATACAGATGACTGGGCCTGCCCCAAATCTGCCTTCTTCACAAGTGTCCAGTAATGTGACCTGCTTGGCCAGGGACCACTTGGGGCAATGTGCTCTGAGGCCTGGTTGTCATCGTTCACATTCTCACCCTGCTGCATGCCTCTTCCCTCTCTGGATCCTGCCCTGCCTCCTTCCTGGGACACCCAGACATGCCTATCTCTCCTCAATCCCCTCCCATGATTCCCAAGATCCAGACCTGAAAAGTCTTTAGGGCAAAGGTTCTCAACCTGTGGGTTGTGACCCACAGGAACTGTATTAAAGGGCTGTGGCATTAGGAAGGTTGAGAACCACTGACTTAGGGTCTCCACTCACTCAACCCAACCCTCTGACTATAGCTATGCCAACCCAAAGGGTCCCTCTCCTCCCTAGTGTGCTTCCCAAGGCTACCTTCCCCTTCTGGCCTAGCCCAAGGGGTGCTTGAGCACAGGGTCCAGTCACCAGCACCCCAAGAGCCCCATCTGTCCCAGAGAGCACCCCCCAGGGGGCAAAGGGCAGGAGCCATGACCAACACCAGACATGCAAGGACCTTATATACAGTCCTTACTGTGAAAACCCCCAGCCCAGTCCCTATAGGTCCTGGCACTCGAAGGTCCCCCCTCCCACCGTGGTTCTTTCAGCAGCTTGCTGAGCACAGGTGCTGCTTTCTCCACAGCCACAGCCATGCGATCCTGTTAGACCTAAGGGTGCAGGATAGGGTTATCTCACCAGTGGTGCCTTCTGCACTCCATTTGTGGGCTCTGCTGACTGGCCTCTATATGGTAGAGGACCCCTACCTAGGCTCCAGGACCAGACTAAACAAGGAGCCTCTAGAACAGTGGTTCTCAACCTTCCTAATACCACAACCGTTTAATACAGTTCCTGTGGGTCGTGACCCACAGGTTGAGAACCGCTGCTCTAGAAGATACCAGATCACTTCAGTCAGCTGCCCCTAGGACAGCCACCCTGGGAGAGGCCCATGTTGCACGCACCTCAGGAACTGTTCTGTCCAGCCCTCCCCCAGCTCTGCTCCTCTACCTTAGCCTGCCAACATCCCCCATTCTTCTGTGACAGCCTCCCTCATCACACACTGCCTGCACAGCAGTGGAAAGGGTCTTTTTGAGATAGCACTCAGGCTCTGTGCCCCTGACTAGAGAGTCAACAAAACCCAGCCTAATTAGTAGCAGGAAAGCTAAAGCAAAGTATCCTAATCACCAGAATTCAGTCCATAACCACATAAGAAAAGGGCTAAACTTGTCTTACGAGTAATATTTCTTAGGACCACAGGAACAAAATACTGACACAAGCTAATTAAGACGCTGGGCTGTAAAGAAGGCAGACCTATCCAAATTTAAGGTCCTTAAGCCAGAAGATATCCCCATACTAACTTTATTCTTCTGTTATGATCTCATTTTAATGCAAAAAGTCACAACCAGGAGTAGAGATTTTGTGGGCTAATGGGACACACAATGCCAAGGCAGCATGTAATGGGACTGCGCGGCCACAAGACCCTCCACCTCTACATACTTATGCGTCATCCTGTTCTCATTTAACCCTCTTTACAAACTCTCCCTAAACTCCCTCCAGGGAGCCAGACCAAAGGCTTTTTCCTTTCACTGCCTCCCTCTGCATGAGTCTCAATAAAGCCTTGCCTCTGACTCCCCTTCTCATCCTGTTGATTTCTGTCATACATGCACACAGGGGTCTGTGCCAGCACCACTCTAGAGCAGGAAAGGCACCCGGCACACCATTTTAGAAACTTGCAGCAGCTGCTCAGGTGAAGCTGGATCGCAGCTACCCCTGCATTTGCTGTCCTGTCCCCCAGCTGCATGTGGAGGCCTAGCAGATTTATGGGAGCACAATTAGGGCTCAAAGGTGTCACCTCTTGGTCATCTTCCAAGCCTCTATAACAGGGACAATGTCCAGCCCCCTCAATGTATTCCTGGTGCCGTGCAGAGAATGAGGCCCAAGTAAGAGCTCTAGTGCCCCTACATGAGTGGTCTTCAAAGAGCCTCTGCCTCCCTGATCAGCTGGGCCCCTGCCTGTACGTCCTGGACCCCACACTGTATGCAAGCCCCAGCCACTCAACTGACAGCCCTTCAGGCTAGATCTGGCTTCCCTCAGGGAGGCCAGCAGGACAAAGTGATATCCATGAGAAGCCACGTCTACTCATTCCTGCTTGCCAGCAAATGTCATACACCCCAGACTCTGTGTCAATGTGTGACTTTGAAAGATGCTTTGAAGACAAAACAGGACAGAGTCCACTCCCCTATGCCCCATTATTTGCCAAGTCATTAAAAGATAAGTAACCCTGGTCCTCAACTTTTCCCATGTGTAAAGGAATGCCTGATGGGGTTAGTGACGTGCTTCTGTAACCCACACCCAGACTCTGACGTGAATGCACATGAGTCAAGCCTGCTCCCTGGCATATACGCCTTACTGGTGCACTGTGTGGGGAAGACTATGGAGTTTCTCTAACTGTGAGCCTTGGCCTCCAGTCCTCAGCAAGACTTCTGGGTGAAACTAACTCTAACTCTTTACAAGCTTGGCTTTTGTCTGCATTCGACAACCCCAACCCACTCACCAGCTTGGGGTTGACCTCGGTGGAGATGAGCTTCACGAGGCAGCGAAGGAGGTGCTGCTTGTGCAAGGTGGCATGTGGAGAGCTGAGGCTAGTGCCTTGGCCCTGCCCTCCAGGCTCCTGGCCCTGCCCTCCAGGCTCCTGGCCCTCAGAGCCCAGCACAGCCAGCCAGTCATACTCCAGTTGCAGCTTGCTCGGCTTGCCCATCATGAGGTAGACTTCGGCCAGCGTAAGGCTTTCAGAGGTCTGCAGGTTCCAGCCCTCCTCTCGGAGCTGCTGGGCCAGCCGGCTGGTGGGGACCTCCTTTGGGGGCTTGGTGGCAGGCTGTCCCTGAGGCGGCAGAGGCTCTGAGGGGCACCCCTTCTCCTGGGGCTCCTCTGCAGGTGCATCTGCCAAGTCTTTAGTGCAAATATCTGGCAGGAGCCCAGGCCCAGCTGGGGTGAGGTCAGCAGCCTCCTTGTTGCCAATGGTGGGAACCTCTGGGAAGACAGCCTCACCAGGAGGAGGGTGCACGCCCCCCAGCTGTGTGTCCATGCAGCGGCACTGCTCAGGGACAATGAGGTCCTGACAGGACTTTAAGTAGCGGGGTAAGGGGTCTAGGATTGAAAGCTCGTCCTCCAGGTCTGGAAGCTGGCTGCAGGCACATGGCCCCATTTCTTGGGCCCCCAGCTTTTGGGTAGGGCCATTCCCACCCTCTACAGGAGCCACTGCAGGGGTCTTTTCCAAATATGGCCCAGTGTCGTGGTGCCCAGAGGGAAGCCTGTCAGGAGCATCAGGGCTACTCAGGCTTGGGGTGGCCCCTTCCCCAGGGGCACTTTCAGGGGAACTCTCTCCAGAGCTCTGTGACATGTCAGTGGTAGGAGGGGGCCGCCCCCCGCTCTTGCCCTCAGCACTACCCCGTGGGCACTTCACATGGCCCCGGGCTGTGCCCTGCCCACTCTGGATGCCTAGGATCTGGGCAGGGGGCAGTGAGTGGACGTCCTTGGCACTCTGCTTGCACCGGCCACCCTCCTGCCAGTGCACGGTACAAAAGGCCTTGGAGTGCACCACTCGGGCCACACCAGGCAGAGGTGTCAGTGTGCAGTTCTCGCCCGGAAACAGGTGCAGCGTCACCTTCTCCTGTGTGGGCGCAGTGCAAGAGTCCTGTAGCTGCCGTTCCTCTAGCGTCTTCCTCTAAACACACTGTCAAGGAAGGCTCTACACTGAATTAAACCAGAGTCACACTCCCCCTTGGCACCACTGGGGCTTGAATTATGACCCTGACCCTGACCGAGGCTTTCTTCATGCCATTACTAAAAACTGCTGTCCCAGGCAGTTGGCATCTTTAGGAAATTCATATCGGTACATCATGGAAGCCAAACAATAATATGAAGCTGGGTGGGCTGTCCCCTGGTCACTTTGTTCATCTTGCTGGCAGGAACATTTTAGGCACACCGCATGGGCCAGATAGCAGGCCAGTTACCTCAGGGAAGGGTGGCTGTGACCAAGTCCTAACATTGCAGGAGGTCAGAGAAGGGGCTCAGTACCCACAGCTCAGCAAGTAAAGGGCTCCAGGTTAGAGCTGTAACCCACAAGCCCCCATACCATGACAGGTACTAGGGAGCAAGACCTGCTTCCAAGTAGCACATGAGCACAGCACATAAGCAGAGTTTGGAGAGTTCCCTTTAGTTGGAAAAAGATACAATTCGCACTTCCTGGAGTGCCCATTTCTGCTTCAAGAACTCGATGAGGCTGGAGACTTTACGATGAAGCTCCACAATCATCCTAGAGAGACACAGGTGAGGGAGGTGAGCCTGAGACAACAGGGATGGGCCTGCTGAAACACTGTGAAGCTGCCTATAGCAAGACAGTGTCAAAGAGAGAAAAGGTACCAAAGAGGAGGCCCTGGCTGGGACCTTTTCCTAAAAATAAGCTTTTTCAATTGAGATCATTGTAGGTTTGAGCAGAACCGTAGAAAATGATAAGAATCATATACCCTGTGCCAGTCCAAGATCTCAACTGGAACACGAGCACTGGTATGATCCACCACCCCATAATAGCAGCAATTGATGGGTTTAAGAAGGTGGGTCTGAGTAGCCTTCATTAATTCCAAGAAAATAAAAACCCAGCAATGGAAGCAACAAAGTACTGACATGTGGTACAACACAATGCACCTCAGAAATATGTTCAGTGAGAGGTGCCAGTTGTGGAGGGCACTTGTGTGTGACTGTGCCTCCAGGAAAGGCCCAGAATAGGCAAATCTGACAGAACATAGACTAGTAGTTGCCAGGAGCTGGGGAAGGCTAAGAATTGAGTAACTGGGGTCTTTTGGGGGGTAATAAAAATGTTCTGGGATTAGACACAGGTGGTGGGCGCATAGCACTGTGAGCGTACTAAATGCCACTGAACTGTAAACTACAAAGTGGCTAATGGGTCACTTTATGTTAATTTTACCTCAATTTAAAAAACATACAAATGGAAAGGCCCATTCCCCTGGGGGTACTGGCATGAGAGGAATAGGAAGGGCTTGACAGGGACAAGAGGGAGGCTCTGCAGCCACTTGCCTTTTTCATCACAAACTCCCAGGGCTTGCCCGTGGCCCATGAGACCACTGCCCAGGTGTGGAAATGCAGCTCACTGCTCCCAGGAGCCCCAGAGTCTGAGGACCCTAAAGACAGTGTGTCAATCTCACACCTGTCGTCATGGGATGTGAGAGCACTAGGGCTGCCTTCTACACGCTAAAGGCCACATTATACCTGAGGCGCGGATTCTGAGCAAGGCTCTGCACACGGGCCCAGGCATGGTTGTTGCGTGGCTGCAGCTCTACAGGAACCCTCAAAGGCAGGCGCACAGGCTTCTGGTCCTCTTCATCACTCAAACCTGCAATAGGGAAGGACTGTGAAAGTCTTGTGCAGACCAACCTGAGGCAGAAGGCAAAGTACCTCACCAGAAAACCAACAGGATGAGAGAGAGCTATGGGCAGACTGTCTTGCAAGGAGAGGTAAGAAAAGCAGATTTTACGCACAGCAAGGAAGAAAACTCCAACGTGGCTGTAAATGGTTGAGCACTGGCATAGACAGTGATGCAGTCCGGACCACAAAGAAGCCCTGAGAGACTACTCTGTTAGAGGTTTAGCTCTAGCTCCTAAGCTAAACTTGGGGTGCTGCGTGGATACATAGCTATGGCAAGGAGAGTTTCAAATTCCAAAGCAGCTCATTCATAGGACTGGGATTAAATGGGGTCAGACAGAAGGCAACAGCAGAGACATCTGTAGCTCAACCAGCCTGTGATTAAATGGGACAAGATGGTGCCCGCTCCAATCCTGTGAACAATAGCCTATGCCAGCCCCTTCCCCTATTCACATACCATCTGGATCACAGAGCTTCTTCAGGGCCCGGCACATGGGTGCTTTAATCCGCAGGTTCCTCCCTTTGTAACGTACGGTGGTGGCCCTGGGAAAAGAATTTTGAATACACCATACTGAGGCCTCTGAATGCACAGAAGGGCGGGCCAGTACATCTGAGAGGTGCTAATCCAGGGTAGGCAGAGCACCATGTTGGGATCCCAGGACAGACAAGATGTGGTGACTCCAGACATCCTGCTGTTCTCCCCACCACACCTCACATTCCAAGGTGCTACATACAGGAAATGCACCCTCTTCTCTGGCCTCATCTCCTGGAAAGGATACTGCACTGGAGGACCCTCAGATGGTTGCCCTTCCTCCATCTGCTACAGTTCTGTGCACTCTTTCCTTTTTAGTCCCTCAAAGCAAAAGCTCTCAAGCTACCTCTATGTGACCTCTCTGTGATCTCTGAATCTGTGTGACCTCTCAATTGGCCTCAATATGACCTCCCTGTGACTGCTGAATCCACCTTTATGTGAGCCTTCAGTCCACCTCTACATAACCTCTATGTAACATCTCCATTACTACCTAGCCACATCAGCCTTGCTCCCAAGCCCTCTGTAAAACACACTGGCAGGACCCAGGCACTGGCAGGCAGAGGTCATGGGCTGTCACATTCTCGCTCCCCCCCCCCCAACAGCCTATAGGTGGGCCCAGAGCTCCGTTGTAAATGGATTAAAGTTATTTAAAGAATAATTGTAAAATTAATTAGTATAAAAGGGTGAAAAAAATAGTTCCTTCTAAAAAATAGTTGAAA